AGTGGCAGTGTGAAACTGCTGCATTTTCTATAAATGGCACACGAAATATGCAACAGAAACACCCTTCCCCATATCAGTGATCACGGTCACAACAGACTATATCGGAGCAAGTCTATATGAGCGGCACTCTATGCTGATTGTTGCCATCAAAATATTGTGCGAACAATGCTGCAACGTCACACAATTTCTTTCAGCAGAACACATAAAAATTGCGATTTCATTAGTAACATGTTGCATGAACACATTATGCATAAGTCCGTCTCTTCTCATAGTAACTGACTACAAGCAATCAAATGTGCACGCCAAGCTTGACGAGCAATCGCGCTCGTCAAGTTGTGCTGGTTTTTTATTCATGATCCTAAACATTGTATGAATGTTGAAATGACATTTGATTTGAATTCTCGATTGCAGTCATGCTGCAATGCTATAAAATAAATAAATCAAGAGAGCAAACAACAGGCGAGTTATTTTGATAACATGCAGCATGAATGATTGGCTCAGCAATCTCGCGGCTCCCAAACCGTATACCACGTTCAAAATTTATTCCCGCGAAGAGTCGGTTACAATGAAAAATAAATGAATTAAACAGCTGGCATGTTGCTGCGAAGATGACCATTTTCATTTGTGAAACGGTGCGACGTGACCACTCACTAGCTTAGTGCTCTAAAAAAAACTCAGAATGTAGTTCTTGTACATTAGCCTCATTGTGTTTAAAGAAAAATATCACAGTGAGCTGCAAAACAGTGTGATGGAAATCGATATCACATTCATACACTATGCGGTAATGCTGCATAAAAAAGCGCAGTCAGCTAGAAAACGTAGTGGGACAATACAAATATCACAGAAACATTCACTGAAAATGCTAACTATATGCTCATGGTCTCTGTGTGAATGATTAGACAACTTTGAAATGGGGAAAAACACTGCCACTGGAGCAGCTCGAACATACATTGAGAAACGCATATATCGAACATAAAAAATGCTGTACTCCTTGTACAAAGTAAATGCTAACCTAAATCTAGTAATACATACTAAATGCAAAGAAAAAAAAACGCATAAAAATAACATGAACAGCAACACGTAAATATATCAAAACCACTAAACGAATAATGAACGATAAAGCATTCAAATCATGGCGCAAAACAAAATAAATTATGTATTGGTCTCCTGAAGCGTATAAAATTGAACATGAACAGCAACACCTATGCACATTGAAACCGAGAAATCATTAATGATTGATGACAAAAAAACATTGAACACATGACAAAAAATTTAACTAAATACGTAGTCTTTTCTCGCAGAAAGCCCTCAGCCATAGCGCGTGCCAAGGAATGGACCGCCTGCACGACGCCCTCCTGCGCCGCTGCCGCCTTCTCCTGTGGTGCTGCCTTACGCCGTGCTGTAGAAGCGATGCGGGTGGTTGATGTGTTCAGCCCCCGCAGCACCTGCGATGGATCATCGCGATGAAAATGTTTAAGTGAGCTTCCAGTAAACCCTTAACTATCTCGTGGCTGGAATCTGCAGCTGCTAAGAAACGCAACGGGCACAACAATTTTCTCTCAGTTGAAAATCCACTGGCCTGATGGCATCCTTTCAAAGTGTGAAGCTTCTTGTGCAAGCTATGCCCTCCTCGTGCGCACCAACAAAGATTTGCTGGAACTACTCTTTATTCATCTCCTCAAATGCATATTTCGCCATCAAACAGCACTTTTCAAGGCTAGTCAACCTTTTTACCCGGCAGTTCACCATTGCAGATATCCAATACCGTGCCCTCAATACAATGCATGGTTCTTATTTACAGCCCAAGTTGGTTTCATTCATCATAATAGAGCATGGAGAATGTTTACGCCCCTGATGTGAAATGAAAACACAGGGTCTACTCACCTTGAGCACCTTGTCGCCCTGCTCAAGGCTCCCGTCCTGCGCTCAATAAACACCAAGTTCTCAAATGCTTGCGTGTGTGTCACTGCCATCTGCAGTCCCTTCAGTGGTCTCCACCTCCATTTCCACCGCAGCAGTGGGAACACCTGCCTGCTGAGAAGTGTCGTAAGCATCATGATCCTTCAAAAAGTAGGTATTCGTTACTCTGGCTATTTTACAACCTTACATACTAAACATCTGTGGAAATATTCTGCAGCTATTCAGTGGTCAATGATACCGTGCATTACCATTTTAGTGCATGCACTTGCCCGCAGGCATTGCGTGTCCTCTGATAAATAAATGCCCCTTATACTGCAAGGACTGCAAAATGAGATTTCAGTTGAGAAACTTACCCACTTTTGAATGCTTTCTCCTGCGCTATATTCCCGTTTAACAAGGTTCCGCTAAAGGCACCCCTTCAAATATCAAACTCTGTCATGGCACCGCTCAGGAACCCGTGATACTGCGGCGGCAGAGTGCTTACATGTTGATAGGTGAGAACGACGCGCCTGAAGCATGTCATCCCCGTCAACTGTAGAGCCCGTCCGAAGAAGCCAGGCAGCCAACCTCCTCAGGTGCTCCTGAAAATAAACAATAATGTCAAAGAACAAATCGCCCATGCCATTCGATGGTCACTCACGTTTGTGCCTCTCTTGCGGCAGCGGCGTCACGGTGGGCCTCGTGCACCGGCCTGCGCCACCAAGCCTGCCACTCCTGCGCAGGCCCATCATGGTTCAGCGCGTCGCTGAGCTCTTGGCACAGCCGCCGTCGATCGGCGAGGGTGACACCATGCCGCAGCTCGATGGCTTTCGCCGTGAGCTGGGGGTGTTCGTCCATCAAGGCGAGCACCAGCGTTCGCTGAGCCTCGGAAACGCGGATGAGCCGCTGCTGCTGTTGGCTATTGGTGGCATTGCCCTCCGCCATGATTTCGCTCAACTGAGCCAATGACTTTGAAAGTTGCGCCGTTCAGATTTGTAGTGGTGGAGATATGAGAACAGTAACTGCCTGAAACAGGGTTGTAATTAGCGCCACTACTTACCGTCACGCTAAATTTAGCGTCACTTCAAAACAATAGCGGAAAAAATATGTTTGGGTTGTGCCGTATTTCTTATACGTATGAAAACTAGTGCTAACACATTTGGATAGTGAGCAATATTAGTTAAACATTTTTCAACACGTCACAAACACTTTTTACTTTGCTATACGGTCCCAAAGCCGACGTCAAAATGATGTGGCAAGCCTTCATATTCCTCATTGGCTCTTTGCTTCCCCTCATTTTCACGACTGCTGCGGACAACCCAATTTTTGACGTCACCGACGGAACGCCTTTGTCTGGATTTAGAATTTGTATATATTTGCACCACTGATGCCGGAGGCCGTGCAAGACCACGTTGCCTGCGCAAAGCTTTCGGCCAGCATCAGTGCAATCGACTCTAAAGCCCGAAACAAATGCAGCGTTTAGGCTGGTGCACACCGGTGACTAGCAGCTGTCGCAATGAGAGTGCTTTGGCTAGTCGCTTCCTGACCAATTTTTCAGTCGTGCGACTGTGGTCGCAAAGCTGCTGCAACCAATCAGCGACGCTCATTTTTTGTTGTTTGTTTTTTTATTGCGCTGGCGAGAACGGATAAAAACAAGACATGCGGCGCGCTCGGTTTCCTCCGCTCACTCCGCTGGCGGCGATCAGCCTGTCGGCGCAGAGCTCTCACTGCTAACAAGATCCGGACGTGACTCTCCGCTATTGCGACTTCCAGTCGCTCGCATGCAGCCTCTGCCGGTGTGAACATCAGTCGCTTTTTGGTCGCCAGTCACAAATGGTCCGCGACCGCTGCTAGTCACTGGTGTGCACCAGCCTTTTCTGCCAGCGTTTACCCGACGCCGCTTCCCTCGGCGTCATCGCGTCAACGCCGCTAGAGAGGGTGACAAAACATATAAGGAGCGCTAAGGCCAGCGTGAGCTCAGCGTCGCAGAGTGCGTCTAAGAGAATGAACCCGAGACCCGCAAAGCAGTGTCCAGTGTCCATCAAAGCAGCAAGAAGAAATAATCCTGAAAACCGGTTTGACGTCTTATTTGCAGTTCTGAGGTGAAAAAAACTAATCACTGTGCCACTAAAAAGTTTTTTTTTACTTTTAGCACCAGCTGTTGATGACAGAAAGAAACAGAAACTCGCTGATTACGGCCTCTGAGCTTCGAAGATGTTGTACGTCTTTGAGGCCGCATATTGAACCTTTACACTCAGGCCAGCTGACTCTACCGATGGACTTGAGCATGACACTCTAAATTGGTTCGAAGAAATACCGAGCGCTTCCTGTCCTTCTAAGGAACAAGCTAAATCAAATGCAAGCATAGGTTGAGAATTTTCGGGTCACAGAGAGCACGGCGACGACTTAATAGATCTGAGGCGGGCGGCAGCCATTTTGACAGCAGCAAACGATGATATTACATAGCGTAAGTCACTGACAGCCGTGCACTGATTGGTTCTCCATTCGTCGACTTGCTTCCGGCATCGGCACCAGCGCTGCAAATACCTTAATCGTCCAGAAATGGATGCTTCAGGACACCGGCAGCATTGGCGCTGAGTGAAACCGGAGCACCAAACGCCGGAAAAAACGCTGCACATGTTTAGGGCTTGAAGAAGAGTAGATGATTTTTTGCCTTTATACAATCTTAGGCAATGCGCAATGGGCCATGTGGCTTAATTAACTTTTATTTATTCATTAATTCACATATACTTTCAGCTGACCTGCCTCACCGCGGTTCTCCCTCTCACGATGCCTCTGGCTTCCCACTTCCTACGCAACGTGTTTTAACGGACGCCAAGCACCCCAGCACAAAGTCAGCAAAGACAACTTCATTGTAAGTGAACATTGGTTAGTTTTGAAGGGGACGAATCTAGGTTGAGGGCCCTGATAGCAATTTTTTGTACTGATTCGGCCTGCCATTGCCTTCAAATTAGTTTTTAGTGTTCGTTCCAAGTAAAAGGTTGGGGGTAAGCAATAAACATTATTAGGCGTGACAAGTTAAGCTGATTTAGCTGGTGATAGATGCTTCTCGACGAATTCAATAAATAAGCTGAACCATATGTGTCGCTAGAAAGTTTATTGTGCCTCAAACTTGGAAATGTTTACTTGTTTTAGGTCGTCTGGTGAAGGAACAACAATCAAAGTCCAACGAACTCTTGCGGCAGAACCGAGGCTTCGTCAGGTGCTGTGCATGGTCGGCACATGCACTCCACTGGCGCCCGGGTGACCAACTTGCGAAATTTGGGTCCCGGGCCTTTCGGGCAGAACACCGCTTTCGTGGCCTCGCGCTCACCCATCTCCTGGCAGCACATGCACGACCGCTCCACCTGCCAGTAACGGGAGCCGGACACCTGCGAGTCACAACGCACGCACACAGTCTGAACGTGCTTCAGCGAAAAGTAGACAGTACAAAACGCTTTTTAGCACATTCGGTTTTTGCAAAAAATGAGAACACAAGCTCTTCGCACTTTGAGAAAGACTTACTTTGTTTTCTGAGTGATGTTAATATTTTGAATGAGCTATATGTAGTATACGAGTGAATAATCCGTTTTAATCAGGTCATTACTGAAGTTTCCCTAATGACTGGATGGCTGCGTCTAACAAAGAATAACGTCAAATGAAATATTATTCAAAATTTAATGTCTACTGCTCCTATCAGGATCACTGCAAAACTATTTTCGTATAACGTGTGCTCATCTTTCAAGACAGGTGCATTTGACGAACTGGAACGACATGATTCACCGCCACGGCAACCACTGACCACAAAATAACAACCAACGCAGCAAGAGTGTCAAAAACTACAGTTAACGTCCATGAGAATGTAGATGTAGTGAATCTCGCAATACAATAACACCTATAGCTGGGTAAAAAAGCACACAATTCAGATTTTAGAGCTATATACAGGCTGCGAAAAGGAAGAAAAAACATTGCAATTCATATTCAAAGCATGGCTTACGTGTACCTGGACGTAGGAAGAGCACGACCCGTGGCAGGCGAATGACGGTATGGGTTTGGGCTGGCACCCTGGCTGCTTGAGCACGTGTATGACGGGCCGCAGCTGGCAGCTCTCCTCGGGACCAATGGCGCAGTCGATTGGCACAGCCATCACGGTCACCACCACGAGGAAGACGTGCACTACAGTTGGTGATCCGCAACAGCTGTCCCAGCGGGACAGCCTGTCGCGAACAGCGCGCGTCAGGAACATGTCTGACCTGAACAGCACACGTGAAAACGCCTTTGAAAGGTACCAATTAAGTGCTAAGTTACTAGGGAAGTTTATTACCAGATATACGCCTAGAAAACTGCCTTTTATTGAACAACTAGGATACTCACAGTGTGACGTTTCTAGATGGAGATAAGAAATTAAAATATTTATAAGGTCAAAGAGGAAGTCGATGTAGCTTCTATTTTTTGACTAAAGTAGGAACAGCCTTTATTATAACGCACACTACTATGAAATTGCCAGAAGATTCTGTGAAGCCGGGCTGACAGCTGCGTTCTAATAATGAAAATGTAGCTAATTCAGTTGGAGTTATTCGCTTCTTTTATTTTGTCTGAAGGGGCGCGAAGCACTGAACCGAGGGCTTTTAGGTACAAGAACAACGCGCGATCAGTCAACATCTTTCTGTTTGTACTGCAGGTTCTGATAGTTAGTTCCACTTCTTAACGTTCCTTACGTTAAGATAACACACAAAGACTGGAGCAGCAATGTGAACACCACGTACCGAAATGCACTGCCTTCTACAAATGGCATACTCGATTTTGTCAAGCGCCGGCGCAGTTTATACTGCAGAAACACCCCCTGCAATTTGACACTCTACGCTACGCCACATATTAAGCCACTTTATAAGTGCGCCAAACACATGCGCATTAACTACGAAGTATGTCTTAGTGCAATTAGGATACTTGAACCCTTTTTGTCGGTCTGTCTATTTATCTACCTAGCCACTTACACCTGAAAAGTTTATGGTCATCTCCTGAAACTGTTGCACGCCAATATCGGCACGGGTGGACAAGAGTATATGGCAAGCACGATGCACCAACCATTTTGAGAATGGCGTCAAATGCATGACGTGCTTGTGATGAAACGTTTTTTTTCCCGCTCTCAAGTAGAACTGGCATATTACCATGGCCAACACTATGTGTATATGCACTAAACGTGACTCACTCTCTATATAAAGACTGAAACTGGGAGTATCCGTAGTAGATATCTTTTTTACAGATACTACGGTGCATGCGCCGCTACAGAAGGTCATATCATTCTTTAGGAGTTGGTCATGGAAATGTGTAAAAAAAAAATCCAAATATTCAGCAACGACCTTCAGCCTGTCATTACGTATTGCATATTGCAAATTAGTACATTACAGCAATGGTCATCTATCAAAAGGTCAGTGACAGCTGTGATATTGGTGTATGTACAATGTCCATTATGGTTGCAGTGTTAAATATCCGCCTGCTTAGTAGACCAGCCGCGGTGGTAAAGCGGCTAAGGTACTTGGCTGCTGACCCGCAGGTCGCGGGATCGAATCCCAGCTGCGGCAGGCTGCATTTTCGATGAATGGAAATATGCTGTAAACTCGGGTGCTCAGAATTTGGTGCACGTTAAAGAACCCCAGGTGGACGAAATTTCCGGAGTCCTCCGCTACGCGTCTCTCATAATCGTATGTTGCATTTGAAACGTTGAAACTCACATCATCATCATCAGCAGGAGCAGCAGCATTATCAACACCATCATCATCATCATTATCATCATCAGTTAAGCTGGATTATTGGCCTTTTCCCGCCTTTCATTATGGAAAACCTCTATGTTTTACCTACAACAAGCTGTCCACGTGCTCCTGTAGACACGTTCACTCGCGTTTTCTGGAAGAGTAACGCAGTCTACGTACAATTCAGTATTGTTTCGGTTGAAAGGACCATTTAGTTTCAGCGGTAGGCTTTTTGAGGACGAGAATTCAGTGACTTTCTCATCTTGGACTACCGCAGCTGTCGGTTTTGTATTGGTCTCATCGTCTTCACGCGACCACCCAGATACTGGATAATGATAGAGTGATGCTGCTTTTATGAAAAAACAACGAATCAGCTGAAACCCATCACATATTACTCGTCCAAAACCAAAACTCTTCGTTAGTCCGCAAGAAAACACAAAATAATCACTATTTCGGTAGTTGCATACGTGTATTGGGTCACGACGCAATATGCGTGTATTTTGTGACGACGCCTCAGTGGGCATGGCTATGCCGCTAGAAAAATGGGCTAATGAAACGATTATTTTATGCTGTACAGGCCGTTTTGTTCATCCTTGCCGGGCTATCGAAACCTTGCCCTTCCAGTAATGAGGTTTCGCCAACTTCAATTGTCACTGCTGACTGCTGCCAATTGCCCTCATCGAATTGAGACAAGCTGAATACGCCTGCTTTAGAAGAATGCATGTGCATGACGTCATTGTTGGATTGCCTTTTTAAAGACAGGCTGCACAGTTTATCCTTCAGTGGGCGTGGCAAAGCGACTGAAAAGATGCCGCTAACTAAACGTTTCTTTTTTCCTGTACAGGTTAGTGTTCATTTTCAAATAATAGCACTGGAGATGAAATTTTCCATGTAATTGTGCAGTGCCTACTGACATGTCTTAACATTGCGTATGACTGTTATTTTGTTTGAAAGTTATCGCTGTGAGGAGATCTGGAGCGAAATCCCAAAGTAACTGTTGATGAGATGTATAAAGAGCTTTTGAAGATACAAAGTGATATCCGGGCCAAGCTTGTATGCGTTATAGCACGTTTAGAAACAACGGAATCAGTAGTAGGCACCTGTGTAGTAAGTCTGAATATTTTAAAGCAACTGTTAAACAACCACAGACTTGACGGGGCGTGAGTTAATCGATTCAGTATTCTGTAGATTCCATTCAGCAATCAATTATTATTCATCACTCTAAACTGGTTGACATTGAGAATCCAGGTCGACGGATTACTCTTCTTACATTCGGTATTAGCGCCGCTGGCAGTGAATCTGAAACAGAACTATTTGAGACGTTATTGAAGGGCGTATTTCATGATGGATTCGGGTGAATTGCACGTCAATTGCAAGGATTCACAGATTAGGCAAGCCGGAACCGAGCAGTCGTCCTGGTGTACTTCATTTCCAAGATTATACGGAAAAGCAAGCTGTGTTGCATCAAGCACGAAAGCTGAAGGGAACCATAATCTATCTTTAAAATATTTACTGCCCTAGCACCCTCCGCCCAACAAAGCTACTATGAGCAACCGCTAAGGTGAACAGAGAAAGCGATAGCAAGGTTGCTCATGTTCATGATAAGGTTGCATTGATATCACCTTTTTTGTGGGGGGGGGGGGGGGATGAGTCGCTAATGATAGCAGGAAAGTGTCACATGAGAGTGAAGCTAGCGCTTAGGAGAGCACCAACTTCACTTATTTGGCTTTCCTTCAACGCACGCAATATAGCCAATCAAACTGGACAGCAAGAAAATATTTTACCCGCACGATCCACATGTGTAATAAAAGAGTCTTGGTTGCATGAGCCATTTATGATAGCGAGGTAGTGCCACCTAATTACCAAATTCATCGATGTGGTCAGGGTTCTCGTGGTGATACAGTGGCTGTCATCACCAAGCATGGCATTGATGTAGCCATTGCTGAGCATATTTTAGTTAGAGAAAGTCTGCTTTTGAAATTTTTTTCTTGGTATGTCATTTTTTATCTGTGCTGTTTATCGATGTTCTACTACTGAGGATTCTTCTGTGACTGATTTTGTATTTACAACTAGTATGCCTACCAAGCAAAAATCATATTTCCACAGGTAATTTCAACCTCCCAGCAGTTGAATGGGATGATATAAATTATGGTTTTTCTTCTTCAGCTGACACACGTTCATACGTAATGTTTCTTTTGCCTTGAGCAAATGGTATGACACCCCACAAGGGGGAGTTACATAGTTGATCTGCTATTTACAACAAAATTTTTACAGGAGTGACTACCACATTTGAAACAAGTATTTCTGATTATAGAATAATATTCTTTGTTTAGGATGTATTTATCAACGTAAATCTTTGACAACGCCAGTGGAATGTGTGGTATGAGATTGCAATTGAGCAGATGATGTTGCCGTAATTGTATATTTAGATACGTATCTCAACACATCTCTTAGTAATGCTGGTAGTGCCTGGCAACGGTTTGGTGGTGTTGTGGACTTCTGCACAAAAAACTTTGTACCGCTTAAATGAATATGAAAGCGATCACATAACACATCACTAAACCGTGAAAGTACACAGGTAGAAAAAATAAAAAGGTTGTGAAGAAAACACAAGACTCGTACGCAGTATTTTTCGGAACTCAAAAACTTGTAAAAGAGTTAGCCATGCTAGGCCTTATATTTAATGACACACCACCGTAGTTCACCAAGTCGTACTTTTATAAATTTTGGCGCTGCCTTGAACAAAGCAATGAAGAAGTTTCTGAATTACTAGTTGAGGATATCTCAATAGCTGCTCCGCCACCAATTGCTGATCATTTTAATAAATAGTTTGAAAGGGCCTTTTCACAGAATCACAGAATTATAAACTGGCAACCTAATACCTATAACCTCAGGTGATGTTCTCATAACTTGTGAGGGAGTTCTGCAAAAGTTACTTAAGGTTAATTCTAGGACATCGTCATGGACTGACGGCATTGTTCATTTATTTCTACGTCGCTATGCAGAACAAACTACTGACATTCTTACTGCCCTTTTTAAGGCATCACTCAAATGTGAGGAGACACTGGCTGATTGGACTACAGCTCGTGTTGTGCCAATTTTTATAAAAGGTTACCGCCATTTCTTGTCAAGCTGCCGTCGTGTTTCTATCACTAGTAGCTGCTGTAAAATATTCGAGCATGTTGTTTCCAATTGCGTTAACATGTTTTTCATGAGAAAATGATACTTTGTCGTCATATCAACAAGAATTTCTGAAACTTATGTCTACTGTAACTCAGCTTGTGCCTACAGTGCATAAGTTTGTATTCGTTCTGAATATATATGGGCAACTGATGTGTTTATTTTTAATTTTAGTAAGGCCTTTGACAAGGTGTCTCATGGAAAGTTTTTGTTTAAGCTCGGAAATATTGGGCTTCTTTCGAAAATTGTTAAGTGCATTCACGTGTAAGCAAAAAAAACTGAGAGTCAATTTGTTGAAGTCAGCGGTTGTGCTTCCTC